CAATGCAGCTAGCTATCAGGAGATTTTGGAGCACTTCATGCTTCCATCTGCTGAAAAGCTTTATGGAGATGAAGATTTCATTTTTCAGCACGACCTGGCACCTGCTCACAGTGCCAAAACCACTGGTAAATGGTTTACTGACCATGGTATTACTGTGCCCAATTGGCCTGCCAACTCTCCTGACCTGAACCCCATAGAGAACCTGTGGGATATTGTGAAGAGAAAGTTGAGAGACGCAAGACCCAACACTCTGGATGAGCTTAAGGCCGCTATCGAAGCATCCTGGGCCTCCATAACACCTCAGCAGTGCCACAGGCTGATTGCCTCCATGCCACGCCGCATTGAAGCAGTCATTCATGCAAAAGGATTCCCGACCAAGTATTGAGTGCATAACTGAACATGATTATTTGAAGGTTGGCGTTTTTTGTATTAAAAACACTTGTCTTTCATTGGTGGGATGAAATATGCTAATTTTTTGGGACAGTCATTTTGGGTTTTCATGAGCTGTATGCCATAATCATCAGTATTAAAATAATTAAAGACCTGAAATATTTCAGTTGGTGTGCAATGAATCTGAAATATATGAAAGTTTCATTTTTATCATTACATTATGGAAAATAATGACCTTTATCACAATATGCTCATTTTTTGAGAAGGACCTGTATAGTGCAGACGGAAAGTACTCGGAGCACTTCCCTTTTTCTGCATTTAGTTATTTTACCACCTTATTCCAAATTGAATTAAGTTAATCTCTTTCCTTAAAAATCTACAATACCCCATTTAGGGATGCACAGATCCACTTTTTTTTTTTTACTACCGATCTGATCCCGATACATAAATCAGTATATCGGCCGATACCAACACTATTCCGATATCACCATCATTATAGATTTTATATGAGGCTGTAATAATCTCCTCTCTACAGGCAAGTACAGTTTGTACAAATATATGCATGCATGTCCAAAAAGACAACTTGAGGTAAGTTTTATTAGGGTGCATTCACACCAGCCCTGTTTAGTCCACTTTAATCGAACTCTAGCTCGTTTTCCTAGAAAGTCTGGTTCGTTTAGGGAGGTGTGAACGCACCATTAACTCTGTCACGGAACAAAAAGGAGAACTCTGGCCCGGGCTAAAACCTAGGTCTCGGTCCGGTAGAAGAGAACTCCAGCACGGTTCGAGTACAGTGTGAATGTAAACAGACCGGACCCGCTCCACAAGCAAGAAGTGGAGTACAGCGCAGGACAAACAAACACACATTTCTCTTATATGGAGCCGTCAGCTGATTTGTGTGGAAAACAATATTCTCCATGGTCTTCTGTCTCATCTTCTGCTCATGCTGAGTCCATTGTTGAAAAATGACAAAATATAACTCCTAAAACTGCTAAAACTTGATGCCACTTCGTTTTTATTTTTATTTCCAGAAGAAGAAGACGTGTCTTCAGAGGTTTTTGTGTCATTTCTTTCAGTAGTTCTTGGTGCAGCGCCCCCACAGGCGAGCGGGGGAACAGGTTGGTTCAACAGGTTGACTCGACTGCACAGTGCAGTGTGAATGCAAACGCACCAGCTCAAATGTAACAAAAGGTCATGAATATTGGTCCAGAACCGAACCGAGTCTACCGGACTATCTGGTGTGAAAACGACCTAAATGTTTGATAAGTTTCAAAGTTAGAATTAAATCCTGCTAAAACAAAACATGTTTTTTAGTCCTAGCTTTAAAGACAGTGTCAGAGTCAGAGTTTTATTGTCATACACACCACATGTTAATAATCTCATGTGGAACGAGATTATGTACATAGGGTCCCAGTTACATCCAACAATAAAATGTATAAGAAAAACAGCAATAAGATCTAAGAATATGAACTAAGAAAAACGTCAACCAAATATACACTAAGCATAAAAACAATACGCCGAAGTGGATATTAAAGTGATTAAATGGCTTTAAACATCTGCTAAGTTCATGGCATAAACCAACTGACATGTTCCTGTTTTTAGTATTGACATCACTTCATAATGTAGCAGTTTTTGTTTGTTTTTTAAATATAATTTTCTTTTCATCCTGATGCATGCTCAATAATCCAGGTAAAAAAATCTAAAAAAGTTAAATCTGGTCCTCTGGACATTCAAAAAAAACAAAAAAAACAAAGCAAAACAACAACAAAATGTAGAAACGTTTCGTCTCTCATCCGAGAGACTTCCTCAGTCTGAGGTGCTGTATTCAGCTCAGTCTCTTAAATAGCACCTTCTCAGAGTGGATCAACCAGTTTTGCTGCTGACAACCAGAACCAGCTGATCACATGCTCAAGAAGGACCATCAGCCTAACAATGGATCATTAGCACCTGATGGCTGTTTACTGTTCACAGAGGGCTGAGTGATACTAGCAATCACAGCATTGTAAGAGGGGGACAGTTGAACCCGGAGGCCTCCACCCCTGTTTAATGATGGACGATTTCTTTTCACAAAGATGGCCTCCTTTACTCCTCTCTCAAACCATCGTTCCTCTCTGTCCAGGATGTGAACATCTTCATCCCTGAAAGAGTGACCGCTGGCCTGGAGATGAGTGTAGACCGCAGAGTCCTGGCCTGATGATGTTGATCTTCTGTGCTGGGCCATCCTTTTGGCCAGTGGCTGTTTTGTTTCCCCGATGTAAGACTGATCACCCTCCTGACACTGAACAACATACACAACATTACTGTGTTTGTGCCGGGGGACTGGATCTTTGGGAAGAACCAGTCTTTAATGTATTTTGGGGTTTAAAAGCCACTGGGACGTTATGTTTAGAAAATAAACGTCTCAGTTTCTCTGATACTCCCTCAACATATGGAATGACCACTGGTCTGGGTCTGGGTTCCTCCTTTTCACCTGTTGGCTGACTGGAGTCCGGTTTGGGTTTCTTCTCTGCTTTCAGGAAGGCCCAGTTAGGATATCCACATTGCTCTAGAGCCTGTTTTGTGTAGGATTTCTCCTTCTGCCTGGCTCCTGAGCTAGTGGGGACGCTGTCTGCTCTGTGGTACAGAGTCCTGATGACTCCTAACTTGTGCTCCAAAGGGTGATGGGAGTCAAACTGCAAATACTGGTCTGTGTGGGTGGGTTTGCAGTACACCTCGGTTTGCAAATGTCCTCTATCAGAGACTGAGACCTCACAGTCCAAGAAAGCCAACCTGCCATTTTTTACATCTTCTCGTGTGAACTTGATGTATTTATCCACAGAGTTGATGTGGTCAGTAAAATGTTGGACTTCCTGAGATTTGATTTTAACCCAGGTGTCGTCAACATACCTGAACCAATGACTTGGTGGTGTCCCTGAAAAGGACGTCAAGGCTCTCTTTTCTACCTCCTCCATGTACAGGTTGGCAACAATAGGAGAAACTGGAGACCCCATAGCACACCCATGTTTCTGCCTATAATATTGCTCCCCATATGTGAAGTAGGTTGACTGCAGGCACAGTTTCAAGAGTTGACACAGTTGTTCTGTGGAAAGCGTGGTCCTGCTGCTCAGAGTGGTGTCTGATTTTAATCTTAAACTGACCACCTCTACTGCATCATCAACAGGAATGCACGTAAAGAGTGATGTGACATCAAAAGAGACCATTGTTTCATCAGTCTCCATGATGACATCCCT